GGCTTGGAAAAAATTATATTAAGTGAAGTAAGCCAGGCCTAAAGAAACATAGGTCCCATGGTTTCCCTTATTTGCAATAACTAGTATATGTATGAGTCAAGCAGAAAAGGTCAGATAATGCAATGTTAGGAAAAGGAACCCTTAGATATGTATTTAAATGTTTTTTCTTTCATGCATTTGTTTCTATTTCTAATGCTTTTTGGGTTCTACTATCTGCATCAAGTTGTGTAGAGAGGGAAGGATGCTGTGATTTTCAGCGTTATTATTGTTTAGATGAAATGTGTGCTGTGCTATGTTTGGAGGCATGTGATTCAAAATTGGCATCTGTTTCTTTTTATCTTGCAGTGATGACCCTATTGTTATGTCACTGGTTAAGCAAAAGGAATTTGATGAACTTGTCCATTGGCATTCTCACAGACCCCTCAGTGATGATTATGACAGGACAAAGGCCAACTTTAATGGTGAGCTGGGCGATTGGGCTGATACACATTTAAATCTATTCCGTGCTCTAGTCTTTATTATATAATGGAAGGTGATCACTCTCTGAGCCACAAATTAAACTTTTAAATCCATATTTAAATGCACGTAAGGATATTAGTGAAAACTCAAACTTGGTTTACTGTCATCCAGGTGTAGGTGTTTTAAGAAATCCAAAATATGCATTTGTCACAATAGCTAGATGCTGTTTTAAGGAAAGTTGGTTTGAACTTTAAGAAATCTCTGCATTTCTTACAGTCACACACACACACACACACACACACACACACACACACACACAGAGAGAGGGAGAGAGAGAGAGAGAGAGAGAGAGAGCGAGCTCCTAACTCCATGGCTTTGGTCCAGGACAAGGTCCAGTGATGCAAAGAGCCTGATGTCTTAAATGGTTTTCTTCTTATTTCTACCTCCATTTCCTTCTTAGCCTGATTTACAGGACAGATGAAGTGCCAAGATCCTTTCTTTCATTCTTTTTTCTTTTTCTTGGCACCACCATACATTTTCTTTTGGGAAGTAGGCCATGATAAGATATTTTAGTTTAAGGAATTATTTTACAGACAAGACATAGCTTGATTTAAGAATCTCCATTTAGCAAATTAATTAGATTAAATTATTATTCTATAGTAGAAAAAGAAGTGCATGTGTGTGTGGTATGTTGTGAAGAATTAGTAATAATGCTGCTGATTTTAATTCTGTTTTTTTTTTCCCCAGCAAAATCCAGAGATCCTCAAATCCTTAAATCCTTGCAAAAGCATCATATTTTTCAAAGATTGTATGGCAATTCCTTAGAATCAGTCTCTTCCAAACTCATTGTAACTCAAGGTGTTAAAGCAAAGAAGGATTTTCATGAGGCTAAGAGCATAAAGAAACATGTAAGGTTCTACAAAGTCTATTATTTTAAATTGAAAATATTTTTGAAATTGGAATTTGTTCATTCTCTTGCTGATTCTTTCTGTGAGAGCATGTTTCCTTTTATATAAGTAATCATATATCTATATCTACCTATCTATATATATCATTCTACTTATTAAGGAAGTTTAGCTTGAATATAAAGTGTGATTTCTAGTTTTATACACATAAAAACATGTACATTTACTCAGAGAAGACTATAAGGCTTAGATTGACTAAAGGCTTAGATTTAAAAATGTTTCAGTAACACTGAAAGTATAGTCATTTATTAATGAGAGTGAAAACCTTTTCATGTTGTTGACACAAAAATAAATATAAATTTTTTGTTTGCTTTTAACAGATTGTTTATATTTTTCCAAAGCATTTAAATAATGAATCAACCACTTCTTTTTTGGTAGAGGGTAAATGCTTACAACTTTCCTTTTTTGTTCCTTAGGATGTCTCTTTCTAATCTTATATAAAGATCTAAAATTGACAACGAAGTACAAGTAACAAGTAATGAGAATTTAAAAATATTTTTGGTATAAATACTAAGCACTTCATGCTGTGAAAACTAATGGCTAATATTTCTGAGAATAATAATGTCTAACTATAGAAAATCCTACAAGAACTGCTGATTTTGTGACTTTAGAGAAAGGTGATATATCATTTTCATAAAATGGGCAAGTCATTAGGATTTAGTCTATTCCTGTGAACCTCAATGCTGGAGATTAGGGAAATGCAGTTATTATCAATAACAGTCAGATTTAATGTTTAACTCTATTAAAGAGAATAACAGTTCAACACAACAAATCCCTAACAAATGCATCTGATTCCAGTCTCCCTTATCAAATAATAAGATCAGTCAGGTGAAGTTATGAGAATGGAAACCTCTAAATGGAAGCAAAAACATTTTTTTGGGCTTCTGAATATTTTTATTTAGGATCTTTTTTTTTTTTGGCAAGATCAGATAAGTGTGTCATTTCCTTGCCAGACCTTGGACTAATTAACAAGTAAAGGTAGTACACGTTTGAGGGACAGGAGGTGGTTCATTAGTTTGCAGATTTATAAAAACAACTCTTATATTCCAATCAAGGTAACATCAAAAAATAATTACAAATGTCTTGGTGCTTTTGTGAAGCATCTCTCCTTGAACTGCTCCAAAAATCCAACTAGAATTGGAGGTCATTTTGACTTTTGCTTTAATCAGCACAAAGAAGCCCAGCTAGCTCTTCTATGTGATCATTATTTCTTGATCATGTCCATGATCTTCATTTCCTTTTTATTGTCAACTTTATCATCCAGGAGACCACTCAATACAACTTTCATTTTTTCATTTCAGAGTACCAAAAGTCTCCTTGTCCTCCTCCCTCTACCCCGTTTCTGAGAGATGTTATAAAATAGAAAAATGGCACAAATTCTTTTTTGGGGGGGGGTTCGGTTGTGGGGCCTGAACTCTGGGCCTGGGTGCTGTCCCTCAGCTCTTCAGCTCAAGGCTAGCATTCTATCACTTGAGCCACAGCACCACTTCTGGCTTTTTTTCTTTTTGCTTATGTGGTGCTGGGGAATTGAACCCAGGGCCTCATGCATGCAAGGCAAGCGCTCTACCACTGAGCCACCTTCCCAGCTCCGCACAAATTCTTTATGGAACAAAATATAAAGTCTGAAGAATTCTCACATTTTCCTCCTTTTCATTATTAGAAATTAAGCAAATTATGTCAAAGAAATTAAACACCCCTAGCACTATTTTCATACCAATGGCTTCATAAATCTACATTTTCAACGTAAGTGAGCATTGCACAGGACAAAGGCCTAGGGCTCTGTCTCATCTTGTGGACTCAATGTGAGAAACCACTTGTAAGATTAATGATTGCGAAAACTCAAATATTATTGATTTATGTTTCTCTTTCCATCTCCTTCTTTCTTTCAATTCTTCCCCCTGTCATTTATTCCTCAGATATTGTGGACTAAGTGCTTGGCTCTTGGCAAAGCCTTCTCTCAATGATCTCAATTTAGAGAGGAAGAATAATAAGTAAAATTGTAACTATAATACATTCTGATGAGTATTTTGACAGATGCAAGGGCATCTGAGAGGCAGGATTTCATGGTGGAGATATCTTTATCACGTAATGAATGGGAAGGGAAGGGTGATTCTAGAGAGAGAGAGAGAAAGAGAGGGTGAGTGGGTCCATGGAGGAAAGAAAGAAGAGTAATCTGGTATCTCTTTTATTCTATAATAATTATTCTTTCATTAATAATCTATACCAATCAGAAACTTAGAAAATTATCCACAGAGAGCCTGTATATCCTAACTTGAATTAACTTTTTAAATTTAAGTTTTGAATTTAATTAAAATTAATCTTAGGAAGCTTAATTTCAAGAAACAGATGTTGTGTGTCTATTCAAGAACGAGACGATGGTTAAAATTGTCATATACACTGAAAAATATCACTGTATTCAAGTGATGCTATCTTGTAATATTTTCCACTTGCTGCAAGGATTATTTCTTTCCTTTTGGGCAGGAGACCAAGGCTGAATTAATTGCTAAAGAGAACAAGAAGAGGTTACTTGCTAAAGAAGAACAAAAAGATGAGCAAAAGTGGAATGCTTTATCACTTTCTATTGAAGAAGAAATGAAAAAGAATTTAAACTCAGGAATAAAGAAACTGGAAGACTTTTTGAAATCATGTAAGAGTAATTCAGTCAAAGTTCAAGGTGAAATGGTAGGATTAATGGCTTGTTTGAAAACATGGAAAGAACACTGCAAAGCTGAAGGTATGTTTCTGTTGGCTTATTTTGGTAAACTGGAGGATTAAGACAAACGTAATATTTGCTGACAGTACTGATGTGGTAAATAAGCAAAGATCAACAGAAGGGAAGAGCATACAGAATTACTAAATTCTGGGTCTGGTGGTTGGAATAGATGTACTGAATTGAAGGGCTCTAGCAATTACACCAAATTCTTATCTGTGATGAAGAGTAGGGCTCAAGAATTGATTGCAAATTTTTAAATCACATATTGAAAAATCATAAAATTTTTTAACATAGTAGGAAAGAAATGAAAGTAATGGGAAAAGATTTATTACTCTCCATAAATGTCTACAAACTTCAGCTTTCATGATCTTATTTCTATGATAATTTTTTTGTTTCCCCATCCGTTAGCTCTGTACTTGTCAGTAATTCACGTAGATGTATAGATAAATATGGATAATTACAGTTGTAATTTTATTTAGTCCTCTCTATTCCCAAAACTTCCAGTAATGCCAAATAAGGTAGTGAGTTTAGTTAAAATGATTGGCTGGGTAATTAATAAAGTTTATGACTTTGATGGCTTTATAAGGACCTTACTGTTCTTTCTTTACCAAGGAAAAATCAGAAAAGATTTAAGTATAGTTGTTCAAATAATGAAAAGGATTCAGTCCTTAGTGGATAAATATTCAGAACTTCTGCAAGAAGCAGATTGGAAGTTTATAGCTAAATGCCTCAAGTATTTGAGATTTGATGAGTTGGCAAGTTCTTTATACCCAACCCAGGTAATAATTTTTAAATAGCTCTGTTTTCATATTAAGTGCACTAAAGTTGTTATACAAAGACAGTCATCTCTTCTAGAATTTTTTGAAAATTATATCATTTCATTACTCCAGCTGCTCCATTTTGGATTAATTTACAATTAGAAATCTTGTAAAGTAGTTGTTTGTCCAAATGGATTAAATGCCATATAATTTCTGCAGGCCTTTAATACAGATGCTCTAATTAATTCTATAAAATAGCTCTAAACTATAGTATGATAATTCACTTATTTAAAAATTTATCAGGTGGTAGACACAAATACCACAGTGAGTATTTGAAAATCATGATGTCTTTTAGTTTTTTCACAGTTACGGGCATGATTTAAATGGTAATGCCTTTGTGGAGTTTAAATGTAGTCAAATGTTTTCACATTGGAGGAACTTCATAATCAGTATTTTAATTAATTAAATGATGTTATAGTTGAAAATCACTTTCAAAATGGTCTTTTCACACATATAGGATACAGATGACATAAATAATAAGAAGAAAAGTAAATATTCAGTGGGTATTGGGCCAGCTCGCTTTCAACTACAATATATGGGCCATTATTTAGTTAGAGAAGAAAGGAAAGATCCCGATCCTCGGGTCCAAGATTTCATTCCAGACACATGGCAGGTAACGCTTGTAAATGCAAACAAATCTTGTGTTTTCTTATTACCTGTTAATTCTTGGATTTCTTCTAATTGCGGTTCTAGTTATTCTGATTGGCCTGGAGCTCTTGCTATTGCATTATGTCATTTAAAATATTTATATTCAAAAGACCAAATGGAGGCTATTTTTTTTCTCCCATAAAAGAAAGCAAAATTTACATTTAGTATGTGGATAATTTCTTTGGAGGGATCTGATAAATTTGCATATTCAGATTATATGTTTTAAGGATGTCTGCCATACAGCTATATTACTACAGAGCTGAGATTACCTGTGTCACGGGATTTCCTATGTGTAAACATAGAACTGTGCCCAGAGAAATCTGTGGAGTTGAATGTTACAGACATTTGTTCAGATATTCACACTCTGCACCTGTCACCTTTGTAGATACTTTTTTAATAAAAATCTGTAAAATAAATATCTGTGGATGGTTGCCTGTACTGACTATACATTAGGCAGAGCGAAGTATTTTCTTAGGTTTAGTATTTTGATTTTGATTTTTTAGCAAAATAAAATGAATGTCTTTGTGATTTCTTCCTTGAAGCCATTTGTTCCCTGTCACAAAAATACACGCTGGCTATACCTTAGAATTGTATCTATTTAGGGCTGGGAAGGTGGCTCAGTGGTAGAGCGCTTGCCTTGCATGTATGAGGCCCTAGGTTCGATTCCTCAGCACCACATAAGCAAAAAGAAAAAAAGCCAGAAGTGGTGCTGTGGCTCAAGTGGTAGAGCACTAGCCTTGAGCTGAAGAGCTGAGGGACAGCGCCCAGGCCCAAGTTCAGGCCCCATGACCAGACTCCCCCCCCCAAAAAAAAGAAATGTATCTATCTGTCTGTCTGTCTGTCTAGTGTCTGTCTGTCTGTCTGTCTATGTGTCTGTCTGTCTCTATCTTGATATCTGTATTCTTCTTTGAGATAATAACAGGAATACTTCATGTTCTCTTTTAGGATTTTTGTGTTTGCAGCTCTTAATCATTCCATGTGAGATTCAGAAAATCCTATTGGAAATGCATTACTGTATTTGTCAGGTAGCATGTTGCTTGTACTATTGACACTAATGATGCTCTAAACCCTGCAGCGGGAGCTTCTCGATGTCGTGGATAATTACGAGTCTGCAGTAATCGTCGCCCCAACATCCTCAGGCAAAACCTATGCTTCCTACTACTGCATGGAGCGCGTGCTGAAGGAGAGCGACGAAGGCGTGGTTGTGTACGTCGCACCCACAAAGGTAGTGCTCAGACGCAAGCCCTGTTCTCTGTCACTCGGGAACCTCCGCTGTAGAATTGTTGCGCATGCTCAGAGGGGGAGATCTAATTCAATTTCTTTTCTTTTCTTTATTATGACTTGTTTTCTTTTATGTCATGAGGACATTTCCACATATGTAAATAATGTATCCAGATCTACCTCACCCCTCTATCACGTTTCATTGCTCTATTTACATGCATATGCATAACCTTTCTTGAACATATTCATTTGCATCCCTACTCCTTCTGGTATCCAGCCACTAAATTGATGAGTTATTAGGTCAATTCTATGTATGAACTTTGGGGCATAGGCCTTTCTATATTCATGAGGTACTTGAGGCTCCATTTGCTTTTTTTTTCTTTTGGAAAGAGGTTGTGTTTGTTTTTAACTACTAAAAATTTGAACAAGTTATACAGCCTCCCTTTTATTCTGTTATAAATCAGAATAAAACACAACTTCATATCATTTTGAGTTTCTGTGCATGTTCTCCACTACATGAAAATATATGGAAAAGTCCCATTTTAGTATGCTTATAGTCAGATCATAATGCATTTTCATCTCTACAGATTTTTACGTTTGGGAGTATAAAGTGTTGATGGATGTTTACTAGTTGTAGACTTGACTGGCAAGGTGACCCTGGATGCAGAGCAGGTTTCTGTCCACCTGTGCATGCAATCAGAAACCTGGCGAAAGAACCCAAATATACAAGAAGAGGCCCCAGTGTACTTTGGCTGCCCTTCCTGCTAGAGTAGGCTCAGTTCCTCTCAGCGCCAGTCTTGGTTACTGAAGTATTATGCAATGCATAGTTGTTGTTTTCAATACCTCTTTTTTTTTTTTGCAGATACTTCTATTTTCTGTTTTATACTTTAGGTTGGAATTGAGTTTATTAGTGAGTTTCAGATGCTTTGTCCAATGCCTCAAAGAGAACACTTCAGCATTCAGTATTTAGAAAGACGGGTTGAGAAAAGGGGCAAGAAAGCTTTCTGCACTCAAAGCCGGACATCCTTTCACTCAGTTCCTGTTGTCCTCATGATAGGACTAATGGATCTATTTCCTCAATTAGGCTCTTGTTAATCAAGTGGCAGCCACTGTTCAGCACCGTTATACCAAAAATCTGCCAAGTGGCGAAGCACTCTGTGGTGTTTTTACGAGAGAATATCGCCATGATGCCCTAAACTGTCAGGTAAGGTATGGAGATTAATAAGCTTGATATAAAATTACCTAACAAAACTTATTTATCTGTTTTACCAGAATCCAACATCTTTATAAAGCCTTGTGAACATAATTCCTTGTATTTATGAAAAATCAGACGGCTTTAAAGAAAGTATAATTTTATGACATTTAAAAGAAGTCTTTTCTACTTAAAAGGATTCCTTCCTTCCTTCCTTCCTTCCTTTCTTCCTTCCTTCCTTCCTTCCTTCCTTCCTTCCTTCCTTCCTTCCTTCCTTCCCAGGACTGAATTGAGGACCTCATTCTTGCCAGACAGGGCCTTTATCCCTTCAACCACCCCTCCAAATGAGAATCTAAACATTAAAGTTGATATTTTACCATATGCTACTTGTGACACTGAAGTACTGTGTGCCTCACATGAATCTTTCATCACAGTTCTGACAAAACCAGTTCTTTGAAGCAACATTCTCTCGTATTTTCAATACAGATACATTCAGGACTCATATGCCTATATATAGTTTTGTGACTTCTGTACATGGTAACTGCTCAAAATGGTTAGCTCATATCATGTTCTTATTTTTAGGTACTTGTTACAGTGCCTGCCTGCTTTGAAATTCTGCTGCTATCTCCTCACCGCCAACAGTGGGTGAAGAGGATCAGATATGTTATATTTGATGAGGTAAGTTTCAAGTGAAGTTTCTGGAAATCTCTTGAACAGCTAACAGTTAGGGGGCTGGGATTTAATCTCAGGTAGTTTGGCTTGAGAGCTGATTCCCTTATGTCTTTGGTGCTTCACTTGACTGAAGTTCAGAGACACTTTCTTCATATAGTGGTCTCAATGAAAGATTCTCTTAAATGGACTCCTATAGAGTATACCTATGTATCCATCCTACAGAGTACACCTACATATCCTATAGAGTACATCTATACATCCTATGGAAACACAGCAGGAAAGGAAAGGAAGACAAAAGACTGGTTTGCATTTGAGAATCTTGCCTGAATCCAGTGTATTTCTGTGGTCTGAAGACAGCACTCCTCTATTCAGCAAATATTTGACGAATGCCCTTCAGTGTCAAGCATTGTATCAGTGTTAGGAATATCCAGGCATGAAGTTACTGTTTACTTGAGAAAGACAGTTCAAACAAGTAAGCACACATGTGACCATAAGCCTGTAATAGTACACACTGTGGAGAGAAAGAGCGTATAGTCATGGCTACAGTAAGGGCTGAGTGGCTCAGGATGACAGTTCCGGAATGAGGACCAGACAAGTCTTCTTGAAGGAATGATTTTAAAATGCACCCCACAGATTGAGGTAAGGGTAAAGTAGTTATTGTAGTGCTTCCTTTATTGGTAAAGATTACTTTAAGCAAAAGGAATAATTATTATGAACGCTCTGTCCCGGGAAGACTATGCTCAAGGAGGACACAAAAAGCTCATTTGTATTGATGGAAAGAAAGATGGGGGAGAGCACAAATGATCCCTGGCATTTTACATATAATTAAAAGGTTTGTATTTGTAATCTGACAAGGGGAGGAAATTTAACTAGGGACATAAGCAGATCAAACATATCTTTTTTTTAGTCAGTCCTGGGACTTGAACTCTGGGCTTGGGCACTGTACCTGAGCTTCTTGAGTGCTCTACCCCTTGAGCCACAGTGCCACGTATGGCTTTTTTTTTCTGAGTAGTTTATTAGCGATAACAGTCTCATGATCTTTCCTGCCTGAGCCAACTTTGAACCAATCCTCAGATCTTAGTCTCCCGAGTAGCTAGGATTATAGCTGTGAGCCACTGGTGGCTCAAGTTTATCTTTGGAAGATCACTTTAACTGAGATGTGGAGGATGTAGGGGTAAGAAGAGCTGGACGTGAACAGTTGCAATATCCTGGAGATGTGGTACGTGACTCAGTACACATGGAAAGAAACGCACAGAGTTGACACAAGTTTTGAAAGTAAAACACAGAGGACTTATTGGCGAATTGGTGGAAGAATTGAGGAAAATTCAGAAGTCAAGGTTTTCTATTGACTGGATTTTCTCAATGCTTGTTTAAATATAGGCATGGCCAGTGTAAGTTAATAGGATGATTCAGTTTTAAAAATTTTATTGGATTGGGTGCCGGTGGCTCACACTTGTAATCCTAGCTACTCAAGAGGCTGAGATCTGAGGATCATGGTTTAATGCCAGCCCAGGCAAGAAAGTCTATGAGATGCTTATCTCCAACTAACCACAGAAAAAGCCAGAAGTGGTATGTGTTTCAAGGGGTAGAGTGCTATCCTTGAGCAAAAGATGCTTAGGGACAGCACTCAGTTCAAGGCCTAGGACTGGAAAAAAATTATTGGTAAGAAGTTGTACAAAGAAGTTATAAGTCTGTAAGTGATGTTGTGAGTGCAATGCTTCTTGGATCAATATCACCCCTTCCACCATTTCCCTTATTATTCTCCCTTCCCTCCCTACCCTCAAGTTATAGACTTCTGTTTTTACATGATAGACATCAAATATAATAATTGCATCTATTGTTATTAGAGTTCTTGATTATAGCAACAGATGCAATTATTATATTCAGTGTCTATCATGTAAAAACAGAACAGATGCTGGAGGGGATGTGGACAGAAGGGAACCTTATTGCATTGTTGCTGGGAGTGTAAACTTGTTCAACCACTTTGGAAAGCAGTATGGAGGTTCCTCAAAAGACTCCACATAGAGCTCCCCTATGACCCAGCAATCCCACTTTGGGGCATTTACCCAAATGGTCACAAACAAGACCATACTAAAGCTACCAGCACAACTATGTTTATTGCAGCATTATTTACCATAGCTAAGATATGGAACCAGCCCAGATGCCCCTCAGTAGATGAATGGATCAAGAAAATGTGGTATATATACACAATGGAATTCTATGCCTCTATCAGAAAGAATGACATTGCCCCATTTGTTAGGAAATGGAAAGGCTTGGAAAAAATTATATTAAGTGAAGTAAGGCAGGCCCAAAGAAACATAGGTCCCATGGTTTCCCTTATTTGCAATAACTAGTATATGTCTGAGACAAGCAGAAAAGGTCAGATAAGTTAATGTTAGGGAAATGAACCCCAAGTTAAGTATTCAAATATTTTTTCTTTCATGCAATTGTCTCTAACATATTTATAAGATGATTGTTTTGTTGCTTTGTATGTCCCTCCCCCCTGTATAAGCCCTGCTTTCACTGTATTTGATGTTGGTATAATTTGTGAAGGGGAAGGGAAAAAACAAATTGTTTAAATAGGGATACAGGTGGGCCCAAGTCATTATGTCAAAAAATGAACTTTACAACTTTGGTGGGGGTGGGGGGTAGGGGGTGTGGGGAGGATGGGAAGGGATGGGAAGGGGAAACAAAGGAGGAGGCAACAATGCTTGATAAGAAATGTACTCATTATCTTGCCCATGTAATTGTAACCCCTCTGTACAGTATTTTCACAATTAAAAACAAAAAAAGAAAGTGAAAAAAATTGCATCTGCTTGCTCTTTCTTAGCTCCATGTCTGTTTCAGATTTCTGATATTTGTTTTGATAAACAGTTCATTAGCTGTTCAGTGTTGCTCCACCTTTGGACTCCTCCCTTATCCTCCCTTAATCAGTCTGTTTGAGTCTATGCATAACACCTTATGCATGCTATTGTGTTCTATGATGGTTTCAAGTGTTATTGTCATTTGCTATTTTAAAATCTAGCTTTCGATTGAGTGATTTTCTTTTCTTTCTGTACTAGGTTCATTGTCTTGGTGGGGAAATTGGAGCCGAAATCTGGGAGCATCTCCTTGTCATGATCCGATGTCCCTTTTTGGCTCTTTCGGCTACGATAAGTAACCCGGAACATCTTGTCGAGTAGGAATTGAGTTCTACTTTGGATAGAATACTTGCCTGTCTCAAATGTTTGAAAGTTTCATAGCTTTCTGGTTAACTAATAACTCATCTCTATAACTTCAAGGCACTGTCTTGCTAGCACTTTCTAGTAGGTGCTGGTCACCTCTATAAAGAAAGCTCCCCGAGATCTCCCCAAGCCATATCTGCAGTGAAGTAAGAAATTTCACCTCAGATCTATGAGACATTATAGATATCTGTTACTTTGGTGTGTGTGTGAGTGCTTTACTAGGAGACCAAAAAATAAAGTGATAGAATGGATTTTAAGTAGTTATCTCACTTTTTAGAGAGGTTTAGACATTTATCTTCTTTCTTTTTTCCCCTTCCTTCCTTCCTTTCTTGTCATTAAACTTGACTTTTGCCTCCGATCAGCATCTATATTGCAACCGATCTTATTGTTCCCCTATGTGTCATATATTATTCTAAGTACTTTGCATATATTAATTTCTTTAAATTCATGCAAGCTTTATGATTTGCTACAATGGCCATAATTAGTATGACCTAACAGTGCTTTTACTTCTATTGCTTGTATTCTTACAAGTAGTTATATTAGACATGGGGGAACAAAACAGAGAAAGATTAAGTGACTCAACTGTGAGCCACACCTAATAGGAAACTGGACTTAAATCTCAGATAGTTTGACCTGAGAGTTGACACCCTTATGTATGATTTTGAAAGTTACATGACATTTTCTATCAACTGATTTGATTTTCATGGAATTTTTTTTCCATTTTCTGGCTCTCTATAAATTTATTTTTTAAGGTGGCTACAATCAACCAGACATTACTGGAAAAAAGTAGATAGTGTGATGAAACCAAATATTGCTTCTGAAACGAAGGCTGGCAACCACGCCAAAAACAACTTTCAAATACAACAATCACATAAAGTTAGACTTGGTATGTTTTCAATACTTATCTACATTATTTTTTAAATTTTCTACTGTAAAATTTTTCCAGTCCTTACCTTTTAATGAATTAGAAAAATCCTGCTATTCCTTTTTCAGTGCTGTATGGAGAGAGATATAATGATTTAGAGAAGTATATCTGCTCAGTAAAAAATGATGACATTTGTTTTGATCATTATCATCCATGTGCTGCACTAACCACCGATCATGTAAGCAATAACTGTGACCACATTGTTGGAATGACTGTTATTTGTCGTTGAGAAGCTGCCATATTGATATTTATTAGAATTATTGGGTTGTCACTATAACAGATAGATCAAGCTTCATTTTAAAATGGACAAGAAACTTAAATGGACAAGAAACTTACAGTTTCATTGGTTTTTCAATGGCATCTGGATCCACAAAACTTCCAACCTCTTAACTCAAATTTTCTATGAACTATATTTATTAATTTTTTATTCTGCCCACTTCCTTTTTCCAACTTCCATTTGTCTGTTTACCTTCTTTCATGCCAGCTATGGGAAAGACAACTATGAATTAGGTTAAGCAAGAACAAGGTATTTGTCACAATGAAAAGATTTCAACTGGCCATTGAGGGATGAGTGCAGAAGGATTTCATCAATTTTCATGGTGATTTCCTTGCCATCTCTCATCAGATTTCCATGGTTCATTTATACTTCTATTTCCTATTGAAATAATAATTACATAGTAGTTTGTGTTTCTTCTAAAACCTGAAAAATTAAATAGACTGTACATTTTGCTAGTCTACTAAACACAGTTCTGATCTTTCTAAGTGTTTAATGGCTTTCTTCAGATAGTGATTAGAACAAGAGTTTGGGCATGACACCCAAACTCTTCCCTTCAGTGTCTTTCCAGCCATGCACTGACATGACATGTCCAGACATGAACATAATATCTTTTCGTCATATTCACCTACTCAAGTCCTCTTTCTAATGCCTCCTCTCCTAATGACTTATTTATAGTTTTACTTAAAAGTTTTAATTTTTCATTTTTGGTGGTACTGAGATCTGAATTCAGGACATTTTGCTTGCTAGGTTGGTGCTCTGACACTTGAACCATATCCACAGCCCGCTTTTTTACTAGTGATTATGGAGATGGAGTCTAGGGAACATACTTTGCTTGGGCCAGCTTTGAATTGCAATCCTCTTAGCCTCTTGAGTAGCTAAGATTATAGATGTGAACCACTTGTGCCTCTCTCTCTTTCTCCCTCCCTCTCTCCCCCAACCCTCCTCTCTCCCTGTCCTGGGGCTTGAACTGAGGGCCTGGGTGCTGTCCCTGAGCCATTTTGTGCTAGAAGCTAGTGCTCTACCATTTGAGCCACAGTGCTGTGTGTGTGTGTGTGTGTGTGTGTGTGTGTGTGTGTGTGTGTATTTGAGTAGTTTATTCAAGATAAGAGGGACTTTTCTGCCTGGGTCGGCTTCAAACTGTGATACTCAGATCTCAGTCTCCTTAGTAGCTAGGAGTATAGGCATGAGCCCCTGGCTCCGGGCTGGTGCCCATCTTTTTTGATTGTGAGCTTGTCATATGTGTATACAATCTTCTCCCTTTATCACCCTTACTCATCTCCCTTCTATGTTTTCTTTACTTTTATAAAATTTCAGTACCATGTATGAGAGAAAAATCTGTTGTTGTCTTTCTAAGTCTGTTTTTTTTTTTCTTCTCACTTTGCATGTTGTTTGGCAGTTCCAGGGCAAGCTATCTTTAAGAAGCAGGGACTGTTGTAGTTCAGAGTACTTGCTAAAATGATCATTTTGGTCAGAGTGCTTTCCCTCTCTTCTCAGTAGCTATTAATGGAATAACTGGAAAGCAATGGAAGTACCACAGTACACTCTGACCCCAGATGACTTTGGCAGAGGGTATGCTGCCGTGAGTTTTCAGATCATCTAGATCCTACTGTCAGGGATGCAAGGAAAAACAAATGCAAAGGCATGGCTATTCTGAAATCTGGGTTGACATCTGTGTATGTAGGTTGTGTTTATATATAATATTAGCGATTACCTTTCACCAAAGAATGTGGAGGTAAAAAAAAGTAAACATTCAATCTATAGGCAATACTGTTAACATCTCAGAATCACTGGGCTTGGTGGTACCTATTTGTAATCCCAGTTACAAGGAATATGTGACTAACAGAATTGTGGTCTGAGGCTGCTGGTTTGGAAAAACAAATCAAATTAAACAAAACAGGAGACTCTGTCTGAAAATTAACCTAAAGCACAAAGGGCTCAAAGAATAGCATGCATAAGCAGAAGACCTTGAAACACAGTGTCTCATAATTAGGGTTTCACATGGGATTCATTTGCAGTAGTAGTGATAGACACTAGTAGAAGATCTTACAATAAAACTTTTGAGAAAAGGATTTTTTGGGGGGAGGTGTCCTCTTAAAGGTATGGCAGATACATTTAGAAGACGCTGGCTGTGAAGCTGGTAACCTGTGCCAATGGAAGAAGTTCCTTGGGGTCCAACCTGAAGGTGGGCCAAGAACCTTTGTCTTGAAATTCATCCATTTCCTATTTTGGAATTTAAACAAATATTTGTTATTTTTAACCCGGTTTGATACATATAAAAATAGTCACATTCATAATTAAACTGATTTCAGTTTCACTGGAAGAATAGAGGTTGTAACTTGTAGTTTAAAGAGTCCACTAACCTTTTGGCTTCCCAGGCCTCTGATTTGAATAGTGAAGACAGTCGATGGAAAATGACACTAATGAAATGTCTTAGTAAACAAATGAAAGTTTTTTTGGTAGGTGAACTTTTGGCCCCTTCTCCAGTGATTCAAGTATTTTGTGAGCATTTAGCACCTAACATTATTTAAACATTTTGCCTTGTCACCCTGAAGTGTCTTTGGGTTCCTGATGGTGATTGTGAGGGACAACATTAAAAGATAAGATTAAAAAAATAGAGTGCTAACAATTTTGATTTTGTTTTAAATACAGATAGAAAGATATGGATTCCCTTCTGATCTTGCCCTTTCTCCTCGAGAAAGCCTTCAGCTTTATGATACTATGTGTCTAATCTGGAAGGAATGGCCTCAGGCCCAGGTAAACAATATTCATGGAATTAGCAGTTAGGGATCAAAATAATATTGTATAGAAGAAGAAATGTGGACAACAGGTGCTGGAGGGGATGTGGACAGAAGGGAACCCTATTGCATTGTTGGTGGGAGAGTAAACTTGTTCAACCACTTTGGAAAGTAGTATGGAGGTTCCTCAAAAGACTCTACATAGAGCTCCCCTATGACCCAGCAATCCCACTTTTGGGCATTTACCCAAATGATCACAAACAAGACCATA